TTCCATTTAAGAAATGTGCTGGTGACAAGTAATCTATGTCTTCTATGTTTTCTGTTAAAAAACACAATGGCTTAGAGTTAAAACAGGCCTCCAGTTGTGCTAAGATAGTGCAATACTCTTCAAACGTAAACTTTTTTCTCCTACGACTCTTTTTAAATGCCACTTCAAGCTCTGCACGGCTCGTTCCCATAGACCTCCTGCACTCGGCCAAGAATTAAAATGCCATTCAATGTTCATTTCTGCAACTTCAGCCAAAAGATTGTCACTAAAGACTTGGCATAAAGTGTCATATTCTTCCTGTAGCATTCGATTGGCTCCAACGAAGTTCGTACCTTGATCGCTGTATAAGTGACGCGGTGCTCCCCTTCGAGACAGCATCCTTCTGAGTGAAACCAAGAATGCTGAGCTCGTTAAGTCAGAAACTAAGTTCAAGTATACCGCCTTCGTAACCAAGCAAACGTATACGACGATGTATCCTTTTGTTGTTTTAACACCTCTTCCTTTGTTGATCTTGACATCGACAAAACCAGTATAATCTACTCCAGTATGGTAGAATGGCGCAGCCTGGCTGTCTCTAGCAGCAGGAAGATCACCCATTAGCTGGTACAACTTCTTTGTTTCATATCTACGACATGTTACACAATTCCTGAACTGTTTCTTGGTTGTTTTGTATCCACTAGTTATCCAGTATTGTTATCTGAGTGTTGTTAAGGTAAGTCGAGGCCCTCAGTGAAATGTTAATTATGTGCTTCGTTTATTAATAATTCGGCTAAACGGCCTTTGTTAGGAATTATCTTGGAATGTTTCATTTCAGCACTCATGTTCGCGTTCTTTAGTGGACCTCCAACACGTAGGACACCGTCTTGATCGATGAACGGTTTTAAATTTAATAATTTACTGTTCGACGCAACTTGTTCATTTTTGTTTAATTTTTCTATATCGGACCTAAACTCCGTTTTTTGAATATGTTTTACAATAGTTGATTTGACATTGCGCAGTTCTTGTAATGCTAGGTACGACGGTAATTGTTTACGCTGCACAATAGGTGTCTATGCTTTTCGTATCCATGCTAATACACGAACAATTTTTAGAAATGTGTTATATTGTTGTAATAAAGAATCAATAACATATTGTTTGGTTTCATATTGTAAAACTTCTTGTTTTTTGTTTCTTCTTCTGTTTTACATATTAATTGTTCCTATTCTCTTTTAAATGTTTTAAGCCATGAAGGTCCTTTCCACCATAAAGCATGATTTAACAACTGATCGCCAGTAAGTCCTCGGCTTGCGTTTTGCTTGATTTTACGTATCTGCAGGTTTCTGCTGGAATTATTGATGTTGTAGCAGTAACTCTATTAGTAACGAACGATTTCCAACGGTTTGGCTCTCCATTCAGCCAACCTAAAACCGACCATTGAATCACACCAGCAGTAGAGCTCCAATCGACAATTTAAACTTTCTTTGATGAGTTTAATGAGCTTAAAAAGCAAATGAGCCCCACAAAATTCAATCCGTGGTAATGTTAAGGCTTTCTTATGGGGTGCGAGCTTCGACTTGGTTGCTAGAAGCGTTACGCTCTGCAGATTTTTAGACCACACCGTTAGCGTACACCACACAAGTGTAGGCAGCGGTGGATGCATCACAGAATCCATGTAATTCAATAATATTATTCTTTTCTGATGAGATCCACTTGGGTATGGTACAATTGTTGATGTTATCGATGTCTGTCGTCAATCTTGACCACTCAATATGAACATTTTCAGGCACTAAATCATCCCACATCAGATCTTTCTTCCATAGTCTTTGGAATAGTAATTTTAGTTTAGTTGAAAGCGGTGTTAACCAGCCAAGTGGATCAAACAATTTAGATATTTCTGATGGTAAATTCCGTTTGGTGAGTTTTGTTGTAGATTTCAAGAAGTTGCATTTAAAAGTAAAGTGATCTTCTTTCGGATTCCAACGTAAGGCTGATGTTTTCGAAGTGTCCGCCGTCCGCCTTAAAGTAAAAAATTGTTTTACATTCTTGTGTTTGCTCGAGAAGTTGATGTTTGTTTGATGACCATTTTCTGAGATTAAATTCGCTCGACTTCAAAAGCTCCTTTAAATCTGATATCAATTTTTTACCTTTCTCTGTAGAATAGCACCCGTGCAGAAGGTCGTCCATGTAAAAGGATCCTTCCAAGACTGTTGCCGCTTCTGGGTATTTGTCTCGTTCATCTAATGCCAGTTGTTTTAACGTCATCATTGCTAGAAAGGATGCTGCTTTTGTTCCGCAAGTGACTGTTGTTAGTTGGAATGACTGTATCGGTTGTTTTGGTGACTGTCTCCATACGATTTTCTGAAGTTGTTGATCATCGCTATTTATTAAAATTTGTCGGTACATTTTTTCAATGTCAGCGGTAAATGCATACGGAAATTTTCTCCATTGTAACAAGAGAACCTGTAAATTCTTTTGTAGATTAGGCTCTTTATGCATAATGTCATTTAAACTCCATTTAGATGTTGAAGCTGACCCACTGAACACGACTCTTAGGCTTGATGATGAAGAGCCTTTACGTAAAATACCGTGATGAGGCATATAGCATTCTTGTTTTACGTTTTGTTGTTTTCTGGGATCATATGTCCTAATTCAGCATATTCGTTCATTTATATTTTAGTGCCAAATCCTTCGGTTTATGAAACTTATGTTCTAAATTTTTCAGTTGAGCAATCGCCATTGGTTTTGATTTACCTAAATTATGATTTAAATCCTCCCTTAAAGGCAATCTCACTGCATATCGACCATTTTCAATGCGTTTTGTTGTGGAGTTGTAAAAGTCTACATTCCTGATCTTCTACTGAAATATTCGTAAATTCGTTGATTTTTCCTACCTCCCAAAATTTATGTATTTCCTCCATGTTATTCAGAGCAACGTTACATTGATAAGTTTTAACACTTCCGAATAAAAACCAATATAACTGTGATTGTTGAGCCATGGGTTGTTGTAAGTTTTCTCCTTTAATCACTCCTCCTAGAATAATTTTAGCGTAGATATCGGCACTGAACATTAGATCGACTGGCCGACTCTTGTAAAACTCGGCATCAGCTAAATTGATATTTTTCAAGTATGACCATGCAGGCTTAGAAAATGTTTTGTTTGGTAAACTTTTTATTACATTGTTCATAATGAACGCCTCTAGTTTGAAATTAAAGTCATTGTTAATTGAGGAGTATTGTATTATTATCTTTCCTTTGCAGCTGTATCATGCATTGGTTTAATTTGTTGTACGGATTGTTGTTGCATACTTGGAAGTCCCAACAAAATATTTATGTGAGATGAGAAGATTAACTTTTTGTTTTCATATCGATGATTTAAAATATTTCAACATATACCAAATAATTATCGCTACTTATTTGAAGGTGTTGTATAAGCTTTTAAGCATCTCCTCGTATTTAAATTTTTAGGAGTTACATTTTTTGACTGTTTAATAGAGATGGATTGTTGTGAACAGCTTCCGTGAATAAATCTTTGAACGAAACCCACTGATTATAATTTCCGCTGAAGACAGGTATTTGCAATTGTGGAGTAGCATTTGATCTATGAGCTACCGATCACATCTTTGTGTTCAATATTTTCTTAAGAGTATTAAATTTCTTCTCGTATCTATCGTACATGGCGGCGTACGTTTCATTTTCCCCGTCCATCTCGGATTCGATTTCCCAGTGAAGGCTATCGATAGCAGCCCACCGTTCGTGTAGTTTCTTTAAAGTCTTCAAATTCCCATTTATCAGCAATCAAATCTACGTCTATGTTTGATGTTGTTCGTATAAAGGCTTTAAAATTAGCATATTGTTTTTTTTTTAAGAAATCATCCAGTTTACTGTTTGTGGCCTTGGCTTCTTTTCATCTGTTCAACCTGTTGGCTTTGCCCACTGGTTCTTGTTTCATCATTTATTTGTTTTGACTTCGCTACTGCTGGCGTCCTGGAACGGGCACCAGCTTCCTCCCCTTCTTGAAGAATGCCTACTTGTTCTACTAGTCGCTGATACTGCTCTTTAATCATATTCTTGGTTGGCTCATACGTTTGAAATATTTTTTCATACCGTTGTTCGATGAAGTAAGGTTGAGTCTTACTTATTTCGGTTTATATACGGTCATGGTTAAATTGGCATTCTTGCCAGTAGCTCTCTTAAAGTACTCAACCTTCTCTTAAAATAATCAGCCGTCTTTCTATCCGCACTATCCTTTTTTATGTTGATGCTAAGTTTAACAATGTTGTCATAAATCATGGATTGAATTTCAATGAATTCTGCCATGTTACATGTTTGTTATGTATTATTGAAGGAAGGATTTGTTATGTATTATTGAAGGAAGGAATTGTTATGTATTATTGATTGAAGGAATTTTATTACTTGATAATCCTGTTATCAGCTTACGAAACCCCGCCTCCTGTTCTTCGACACCAAAGTTCTTGTTATGTTATAGTTCTCACATCGCACACGCTCACAATAAATGTTATACTAGTTCAAAACCTCATTCGACGGGAACATTTTTTCACAGAATTCACCGACGCGCAAGATTCTCTTGAAGGACCAAAATGTAGGTAGAGTGCAGTGTGAGTTTGCACCCGGGTGACGCGGTTGTTGATCGTGCACTAACGATTTGTGGAAATAAAGTTAACGCGTCACGCGAATTATGCTGTCAAAGGTGTTCGGTAATATATCACCGAACATAAATGTTTTTGAGACAGCTAAAATTATTATATTTTTTATTGCCCTTGTACCTATACCCTTGGTATACGAATGGTGGGCTGTACCACCTGATTGTGAGTGGTTAACGTCGCCCATGTACTTCTGCAATGCCAGGGGCAGAGCCAAGTCGCTACCTACCGGAAACGTATTTCTGATAATTTAATTATATATTTCACTAAGCACATTAAATACATTGATTTTTAAATTGCTTTGGCTTCTGTAGTATATATACATATTATATTCGAACTGGAATTTGAATTGGCTTGCAGGTTCACACGACAAAGCCATGTACCTGGAGTTGGCCCACGGCGGACACTTGGGTTTCTATGAAGGCGGTCTGCTGTACGCGAACCCCGTGACGTGGCTGGACCGCGCGCTGGTGGGGCTGGTGGGGGGGCTGCTCATGGCACACAACAAGTGCTCGCCCAAGGACGCGCTGGCGCACGCCGACTGCTCCGCCTCCGACGACGAACCTGATCTCATCAAATCCACCACCATCGTGTACCGCGACCCCTTGGACAAGGTGTCGTCGAAATGCAACTAAATTGTCCAACTACTAGAACAATTGTAAGTTGTTTACGTGAACCTAGGTGTTAGTGGGTTAGGGCGTTTTAACGCGTTTAATGTGTAAAGACAACGGTGTCGACCGCAAACGTAAATCTCTCATTCTCCATAATCTCGGAAGTTTTAATAAAGTTGTTTATATGTAACGGCAGCTCCACATTAGTGCCGTGAATTAACTTTTTTTTCCCCACCTATTCTAGTAACCTCGAGAGGTTATTCTAGATTCACCGAGCTAGTAGGTGAGCTCACGGGGCTCAAGCCGGGAGTGTTGCTAACACCGGCCATAGCAAGAGCAGTGTTTCGCAGAATCTATCACCGGATCGGAAACGCGACCCACTGAGAAGATCCGGCGAGAAACTCAGTGGGGCAATGAATCCACGGCACAAGTCGTGCCCTCCACGTTCACGGGATGCTCTCTCAATCGTTCGTAAAACCCGCCACGAAAGGGACGTAGAAGCTGCTGCTGCAATAACGTTGTTTGCTGTGGCACCATATCACTATTTAGAGGTCCAAAACAAGAAAGTTATTCGAAAGCGTTTGAAAAAAGATAGTGGATCATTGAAATATATTGTAACCGATCAAGGCTCTGTAGCCAGGAGCAAAAGGCAAGCGGCCGCGAAGAAGGCGCAAACCCTTTGTCGCGGAACAAAACACCGACTCCAATCGGGGTACAGACGTGAGCGCCGATTAACATCGCAAAAACCGTTCACGTTAACGTTCACGCCTGTCTACGGAACTTCACGGCGCTAATGTGGAGCCGCCATAACTGTTCAGTGGCTTGGTTCGTTTCCGTCCGCCGTTCAGTGTCGCTTTATATTTACGACTGTATACGAGTTTTTGAGCAGAACGAAAATCGAAGAGAAGAGAGAGAATGCCAAACGCCGCAAATATTTCAAAACATTCTTCTAATGAGATTTTATTAATTAATATTAAATTTATTTAAAAAAATGTGTTTTCCCTCCAAAATGCTCGGAAGCCGTCGTCTGATCGTACGGACGTCACTGTTATTTGTAATAATTCTATTCAATGATATTAAACTCATTGTAGATCATAATGACGCCATTAAAACGTCTAAATGTATTAAAGCATTAAAACTTAACGCAAAATTTATAATCGATTTTAACTATCTAATTAATTTTCTTGTTAAGGCCTATGTTATAAATAAAATCAGTACACATATAAAAATTACCAACATCCCTGTTAATTAGAATTTGGTGAATTGGCATTTTCTAGCGAAGTAAAGGTTTTCGGTTTTAAGAAATGTAGGGCTTAATTACCAAAGTTATATTTAACGGCAATAACTTTTGTTGGTTGCCGGGCCGAGGTAATGTGTAAGTAATGATATCCAATGGCAGATATACCGTGATATACGGAGCGAACAAAACAAAAAAAACACATTACGGAGCTCCTCTGTGAACAAGGGACGCTTTTAATCTACGTATTTATTTATTATCGACCATGAATAGATTTAGTTCTTTTAAAAGTCAAATGATAAAACAGTTCCTCTTCTAGTACATGCGGGTGTACAAATGGCGCTGTACTCTTAGCTTGCTGTTATTTCAATATATTTTTTATTTATGTTATTGTATTATGCACTGTATATATTAATATATTAAAATATATTTATACGGATGGACGAGCTCACAGCCTACCTGGTGTTAAGTGGTTACTGGAGCCCATAGACATCTATAATGTAAATGCGCCACCCACTTTGAGATATAAGTTCTAAAGTCTCAGTATAGTTACTGCTTCACGGCAGAAATAGGTGGGTTGGTGGTACCTACCCGTGGGGACTCACATGAGGTTCTACCACCAGTAAAAATTATAATACATTATTAATTGTATCAGAAAATGGGTATTTAATATTTGGTAGTTACAACGAAACGCGATCGGATTGTAGTAGTGCCTATGTTATAACGTAAATGTCCTATTATAACTAAAAGCTACGCATGTTTGTTTATTGTCCACAATATTAAGTCTTTATAGATTAATTTGCTTCATGGTTATTTCGATATGTCTAAAATATGTATTCCCGTTGTGATGTTTTGTTCGCATCGAATAAATCATTCACAAGCGGCGCATGTTTCCATTCCGCGTCTCAAATATTTGTCTGAATTATTTTAATTTAGATATTACGTCTCTATTGGATATTATGTGTTCTGTGGCGCGACACAAGCACAATTTGTTGCGCACTATGGTTTACTGCATATTCTGAATAAGCTTTGTAATAGTTATTTATTATGTGTCGGTTGTTCTTGATGGGCAATTATAGCAGAAAAAATTGCGAATTTTGCGTCTCATAGATGTCGGCAGTATAGGATTTTAAGGTCGGATATATATGATTTAAAATGTTTGAACAGTAATTGGTATTAATACGAAAATTTCTAGATTTTCTGAACACTGAACGTGTCGCTTAAGAAAACGCATGTATTGCTCAAGACGTCACGGGAATATTTTGGTTATTGACGTAATAATATATAAAAAAGGCAAAATTAAAAAAAAAAACAGTTAATCCGGTCAACTCTGACTTTATAGAAGAAACTGGCTGGTGATATCAATGTGGCAGTTTTAAGCGATTGATTTAAAAATATAATTCAATAGATCAACATCGGAAAAGATGGAAATATTAAACATGAATCCGTAAAGTTACAATTTTGAAAAGTATATAGTGCCGACTTTATGCCTCTATTGTCGAGAGAGATACGAATCAAAACTCGTTGCTTTCAAACATTGTTGTTGTGCTTGCTCTGTGAATTCGTGAGATACGCTTTTGTTTATTATTAATATACCTACTATTAACAATATTGCATTTTTGTCGGGAAATGGATACTGATTTAATGTATTTTATTTATCTATTCAAATCTCACTTTCATTTAAAACTTAGTAAAAAATAGTGACAAAAACAACGATTATTAGAAATTAGTTTTAACAGATTGGAATCTGTTACTGCACAATGCTTGTTATTAGAAAAAAAAAACAATTACAAATTGAAATTGGAAGTGAACATAATGTATAGAGAGAAGGCTAGTGTATTTTGTACGTTTGTATTTTTATGTATCAGTCATTTTACGAAAGAAAAGCAACTTAAGTCTTGTTTAAAGAAACTGCCCCACAGATTTATATTAGTCAATAAATCTGAATTATGAGCTATTAGAGATTATAATAACTTGAAATTAAAGCACATAGTGCAAGATTATAATAAATGAAATTATTTAATGTACTTATATATGATTCCAGTTTGACGATATATTTTGTATGAAAAATTTAAAATATATTGCACCATTCCTATAGTTCTAAAATGTGTAGTGCGTACGTGTTTGTCTGTTTTAGAGGCCGCAAACAATTCGTCCTGAATAACAAAAGTTTTAGAATTTTTAAATGTTATCACTGTTACAATATTATACTAACGATATGTGATTCACCGTTACTAATTAGTTAAAAAATATATGTAAAAATAATAATTATATTGTTAAACATTAAAATAATTGTGCATATAATATACGCCGCAATTTTTAATCATCAAAAATGAGACTTTTCTACAGCCGAAACATTTTATTAGAATTTATTTAATAGAATTATGTGAATACAGAACCGGTCAATGGGGAGTTTATAAAATTTCAGATTACGAAGTTGATTCGATTGTGCCGATTCATAAAAAGTACAAATTTTTTATTTTACAATCTATCTAGCAAAGTATATTGTCATATTTATTTTTAGGCTTGTGTCAAATATAAACTATTTAAAATCTATGGGCGTATTACGCACTCAATAAAGATTTTGGAAATGAATAAAAGCATTTTAATTTGTTATATCCCATTCATATTGAAATTATTCATTACAAAAGTTTTGATAAATAAGTATATTTCTAGTCAGTAATATAAAATTTTAAAGACGGGTGAATTTACGCTGCCTTACAAACTAAGTTATAATCTAACTGTTACATTTCAAATATTTTGTAAATGGAATATTATTCACTGCCTCGTTTTTTAATATTGCAAATTTTACTAATACATAAGCTCCGAAGATTAAAAACGCAATTTGAGCATTTAAATGAGATCAATTTGGAACATATAAGTTTACAGTAAAGGATGCTGCTTTCCAAACTATGAAAATAATCTAAGCATAAAAGGCATTTGAATAAAACTAGCCCAAAAATTTGATAAAAGATGACATTGGATGAAAGAATACATGACAATTTAATGAAATAATATAAATATTCCAAATACAAATATCACAACATTTTTCTTAAAACCTTAACTCTTTACAAATTACATCTTATCATAATATACATCAATATTTTAAGTGTTTTTCTTAAAATTAAATTTACAATAAGAGAAATGGAACAGATCTAGTAGTCATTTTGCACATTTTAAACGTCTAGTTATATTTATTTATGAAAGAAATCTGTTATGTCTGCTTAAAATAGAGAGAGCCAGTCATGAGTATTATATAGTAAGTAGCCTTTCACTGGGCGATCCCTTGATAATAAATAAGTTCAGTGTAAGAATAAAGATTGCCTTAATCTAACACAATGGCACAAACAACAAAATCAAATTTTAGCTTTGAAATTACAAATGTGGCGTATAAAGCAGGACAGGTAAGCAATCATAAAAATAGATTCAATCTTACAAATGTTCAATGAAATACAAAGTTGTTTTATGTTAACTACTAAATCTTACAGGATTGGTATTAGATTACAGTCTTTTATAAATACTATTGATTTTGAATCTGAGTATTTTCAGAATAAATTAAAGCTTTTTCTTAAAATAGATTTCATAGAAATAAATTATGTAAATGCAATTAAATCGATACTGCCATATAGTCAGCACATGGACGCAGGATCACCTTCCATGGTGCACGCTGTATTTTCTAATTTACGAGCTAAGTGTGTTTTATTTTCTAATCCTAACATAATTTGTTCTCTATATTTACTGACATAAATATATAACTCTTTTAAGGCTGATAGAGTATCAAACTCGTTTAATTGTTCCACAGAGAGTTGTTGCATAGACGTGCTTATTTCTTGGTCTGTAACTTGTGGTAATTGAGAAACTGCTTGATAAAACCTTATGACCATATCTCTATAAGTGGGTAAGTCTTTTGCAAAGAGTAATTTGTTTGACGGCGAATCTTTACAAAGTCTATGTTCTGATAATGAACATGCATCCATAAAAGTTTGCGCAATCACGGACAGAGAGGAGTCTACAGTGGCGGTTTTATTTATATCAAAAATGAAATCAGGATTTTTAATGAGATTCACCCAAAATCTTA